CACACACACACACACACACACACACACACACACACACACACACACACACACACACACACCTATCTATTGTATGTAATGAAGTGGTGGTGATACAGTACTGCAGGTAATTTGAGTCAATATGCTGTTTTATGGTGTTAGTGTTTTGTACTGTATATGGCATATTTTAATATATAYACTGTACTGTATATCACTGTGTACACTGTGTACATCCAGAGCCAGGGCCCTGTCAGACGGAAGGAGAATAATAGTGGAAGTGGAGGAAGAAGGAAAAGAAAGAAACAGTGATGATGAGGATGAGAGGTGCGTTGTGGAAGAAGACAGAAAAAGTCATATAAAGGATGCTGGCCCAGGTTTGTGGCCAACAGATTTGATTGATAAGAAGAGAGAGAGAGTAAATACTGTGCTAGTACCAGTATCAGAAAAAAAGGAGGTAAGACAGATATTCTAATATTTTGATTTATCTCTGTACAGAGTTCACATCAAGTGTAAAAGAGACAGGATGGCCCTAAGAAGTGGCTCCAGCACAACATACTCCTTAAACACAACCACCTTCAGAGTCACAAAACATACGTAGACTGGACTGATCAAGTATCCCGAGTCTACTTTCAGAACCAACAAAGACTTTCCTGAAGAGGCCAAGCAGTGGTACACACTATCCAGCCCCCCTTTATAAGGACCACCACTGAAACGATTGAAAATATGCAGTACGCAGTATCTACAGCAATGTTTTCAATTGAATGAGTAAAATGAGTAAATTAGTAATCTGTAAATACCAAAATAACTAACTGAATTATAACAGCTGTGTGTTGTTTTAAACACTTGTTTAATAAAGCTGAAAAATAAAATAAAATAAAAGCCTATCAGGCCTGTGTTGGTGCATTAGTCTGTCTGGATGTTCCTCCTCTCTGATGACACTCATYAGGTTCTTGATCCTGACTCACATTTTAACGTCTTTGTTTTCATTTAGCAATATATGTAATTTCAAGTACAATATTTAAAATAACACATATGTATTTATGTAAGAGTATAAACAATTGCCTAAGTAGTACACACAATTAATACTCAGTTAACGGTAGTAAAAATAATTATTACTTTTCTCCACTAGTTTGTAATTTTTTTATATTTGATGTCATATTTTAGTATTGTTTCTAAAAACAAAATAGTTCAAATGTAACTGTTTAGAAAACTAAATGGGTAAAATTTGTTATGTATTTGTTTCACGTCCTTTTAATTTAAAAAAATGTTGGTTATAATTCACCCCAAAAAATAGCAGATTATTACATCAGTTTCTTTATGTGGTATATATWTATAAAATTAGCTGGCCAATGGAAGAGATGAAGGCCACGGATGTTAAGACTTGGAAGCTACTAACCATGCATGGAGGGTTCCACCCCAAATCCAGCACCCTGAGACTGTACACAAGCCGTAAGGAAGGAGGCAGAGGACTAGTGAGTGTGAGAGCCACTGTCCAGGATGAAACATCCAAGATCCATAAACACATCAAGGACAAAGCCTCAACGGACGATGTGCTCAGCGTATGTCTCAGGCAATGGGGAACAGAAGACGAGGTGCTAGAGRTACCATCATGGGAGGACAAGCCCCTACATGGGATGTACCATCGACAAATAACTGAAGTGGCTGATATCAGGAAATCCTACCAATGGCTGGAAAAAGCTGGACTCAAGGACAGCACAGAGGCACTTATCCTAGCTGCACAGGAACAGGCCCTAAACACCAGAGCAATAGAGGCTCAGATCTACCACACCAGACAAGACCCAAGGTGTAGGTTGTGCAAGGAGGCCCCTGAGACAGTCCAGCACATAACAGCAGGGTGCAAGATGCTGGCAGGGAAAGCGTACATGGAACGACATAACCAAGTGGCGGGCATAGTGTACAGGAACATCTGTGCAGAATATGGGCTGGAAGCCCCAAGATCGAAGTGGGGAACACCCCCAAAGGTGGTGGAGAATGACCGAGCTAAGATCCTGTGGGACTTCCAGATCCAGACAGACAAGATGGTAATGGCGAACCAACCGGACATTGTGGTGGTGGATAAAGAACAGAGGAAAGCCGTTGTGGTGGATGTCGCATTACCAAGTGACCACAACATCAGGAAAAAGGAGCATGAGAAACTGGAGAAATACCAGGGCCTCAGAGAGGAACTGGAAAAGACCTGGAAGGTGAAGACCACAGTGGTGCCTGTGGTCATCGGGGCCCTCGGGGCAGTCACCCCCAAACTGGAGCAGTGGCTAAAACAGATCCCAGGAACAACATCAGACATCTCAGTCCAGAAATGTGCAGTTCTAGGCACAGCTAAGATACTGCGCAGAACCCTCAAGCTCCCAGGCCTCTGGTAGAGGACCCGAGCTCAGAGGATGAAAGAGACCACCCGCAGAGGCTGAGAAGGGAATTTTTATATTTATATATATATAATTTTTTTGAATCATTTAAAAAGTCTCAGGGATTTAGAGGGTAACATATAAGTCCAGGAATGAGGGTCCACTGTCAGGATCTGAGGATTTTGGTTGTTTCTTGTTCGATTTTTTTTATTGAGTAATTTATATAGAATACAGTCTGTTCAGTTTTTACTATCCGTTTTATGTTTCATCTGTTCAGTCTTCCACTGTGCAGAGTCCTGCAGATTTTACTTGTTTCCTGCTCTTCTAACACCTGCAGGATAGTGGTCCTTCAGAACCAGGACTGGACACTCCTGGTGCAGACCCTCAGTCCTGCCCCACCCACCCTCACACCTGAGTCCTGTTYCAGGTTTCTCTCCTCGTGCACCTGCTCAGCGAAGCCCTGCGCCTTGCAACGCTTGTTTTTGTTACCATCAAATGTAGATTTTGTTTCTTGAGAAGTCAGGTCTGCATGATCCCCCCCTGCCATCCTCACTCCACAGAGGAGTAATGGTGGTCTGTGAATGAAAACAGTGAAAGCTGAGAGGATGCTGCAGCTGGAGGGAGARCCCACCTGTTGGAGCACTTTCTGATGTGTCGCAGGTGAAGCAGGCTGTCATCACAGCAGCACAAGGACACAACAATTATCTGTCAGACACGACAAGCCAATAAAATCTGTCCAACCGCTCATTTCTTAATTAACTCATTTATCCTTTTTAGCCTCTGGCATAAAATAAATCTCAGACATGTTYGAATTAAAATCATGCCACGAACCCAGAGAACATGTCTAATAATTCGTATCATTAAAAACACAACCACACCAGCGCATTTCAGTAACATCTGAACATTTTGACAACAGTCTGTGTTGGAAGCTGCCGCCCTCCGAGGTGCGTTTTTCCGACAAACGATGGCAGCAAACTGCGGCTGAAGTTCAAATTCCGCAGAAAGCGAATTGTTTGTTGCGACTTGACTGTGCGCCGAATGATGGCTTCTCCTCTATTGTTCTCGGATAACACATCCACAATAACTGAAGGTGCTACAAATACACGTTATACTCAAATAAGTATCAAATTCAGGTTTTTATCATCGGAGTCTGGCGCTCCGTTCTCTGAAAACATCACGCATCAGACTGAGTCCAACTGCAAAACCAGCTGCAACCTGTCAGCAAACACCTGATTTCATATGGAAAATAATAATAATAATAATTCTGATCATAGAAAACGTTTCTGTGCACATATGTGAAGGCGCGCGAGAGAGACAGACAGGTAGACAGACAGACAGACAGCTCACCTGCTGACAGTCACCATTCAGCTGAAATAAACCGTCTTCTGCACATGAAGCTGCCGACCAAGCCCCTCACCGCCGCGGGGTCTCTGCTGCAGCCGGTCCGCCCTCCGGACTGGAAGCCTCCCGGTGAATGCACATCTTTCTTCTCCCACCTCTCGCTATGAAGCACCGCGCAGGAGTGATGAAGAAAGGGAGGGTCCGTTCATCCAGTCCCCCTGGAACAAGGACAAGCCCACCTCCAGTTTCAAACCTCGGTGTGATAAAAGGGCTGAAGTTGGTGCTGAACAGGAAGGAGCTGCTTGAATAAAGCAGAGGTACCTGTCACAGCTGGAACATATGATRACAAACAGGTGAAGTTCAACACATTGATGGGTCTGTCCGCTGGAATAGAGAAACACTGGAATGGTCACAAACGACTATAGGCGAGATTTTTGGCCGCCATCTTGAAAAGACCCTTTCGAGTACTGTTTACATGTTGAAGCCACACGTGAGAGTCATTGTCCATAAACACATAGAAATAGTCTCATTTTACTTCAGAGTTGGAAATTAATTTAGTATTAATTTTGTGTAGTTTGTACTTGGAGTGACCAAAATTAGTGTTGGGGTTCACCACGCTGAACGAGAGGGTTGCCTCTGTGGCTTCGTGGTAYTGGAGGGAAGGTTCTGACTGTTTGTGCTCATGCACCAAACATCAGTTCAGATTACCCCTTTGGGGATTTTTGGATGGTGTCCTGGAAGGGGTGCCATCTGGAGAAACTTGTTCTACTAGTTCTACTTCAAAGCCCATGTGGGCAACGATGGGGTTATCTGGAAGTGGGTGATTGGGAGGTACAGCTTTCCTGATCTGAACCTGAATGGTGTTCTGTTATTGGACTGTGCTAATGCCTATAACAAACACCATAGAGTTGTCTATAAGTGTATTTTGTACCAGGCCACCTTTGGCCAAATGTCAATGATTGATCTTATAATCGTGTTGTCCGACCTGTGGCCCTAGGGCCACAATTTCTTGTGGTGTCTATTCTTGAAGAGAGAGGCAGAGCTGTCAACTGATCGCTACCTGGTGGTGAGTTGGATCCGGTGGCRGGGTGGGCTGCAGGACAGACCTGATAAACCCAAACATATAGTAATGCTACGTTTACACCAAACGCGTTGCACGCCTCCAAAAATCTCAAAACGCACACATCTTGATGCTGGTGTCCAGTGAGGACAGATGCATTTGATGTGAACATAGACGCGCTTCTTTAGACGCTCGAGTGGAGGAGCCTTTTGAACCATAGTTTCAATAACTTACCAAACATGCTGACTTCCTCACTAATCTTCCTCCAGGTTAAAAGTCCTTTTTATTTCTATCACGATAATGGACACTGGAATGATCATAAATGATCGGACTATCAGTTTTTCCTCCATTGTTTGTGTGATCAGATTTCCYGGGCTTCCAGTATTTCCRGCTTGTCACCAGTGCACCACTGAGCAGAGTCTCTCTGATTGGTTGATGCGACACGTYGAGCAGCAAAAGTTCAGATTTTCCAACTCAMGCGTCGGAYGCTTGGGAAGTGCCRCGCGCTTGGAAAATGCTCATGATGCATGCACTTCTTCCAACTGTGCTGTTTCAAATGCACCAGAYGCGCTGCTCGGCTTCTAGACGCCCATTAGATGCGCGTCCACCATTGACTTTGCATGTAAACCAGATGCTCCTGATGCCCAAAACACGTGTGATGTAAATATACCATAAGGGTGAACTGGGAATGTTTGGCAGAGCTCCCTGTCTTGGGTGAGGTTGGGTACAGGGACTCAGAATGGGCCTTGTTCCTGGCCTCCATTGCAGATGCGTCTTCTATGTGCAACTAATGGACCAACTAGTGGACACCAGTGRTGATGGAGGCTATCAGGCTGAAGAAGAAGGCCTTCTGGACATGGCTTTCCCAGAGAAGTCCTGAAGCAGCTGACAGGAACAGGTTGGCAAAGAGGGTTGAAGCTTCAGTGGTTGCAGACTCAAAAACTTGGGCATGGGAGGAATTMGGGGAGGCCATGAAGAAGGACTTTTGACTGGCCTTGAGGAAGTTCTGGCAAACTGTTCTGTGATTCAGAAAAGGAAAGTGTTCCCTGTCCTGTGCTGTACTCCGTTTAGGTGGGGAACTGCTGACCCCAACTGAGTATATCATTGGGAAGGAACACTTTTAGGATCTCCTTAATCCACCCTCCATGTCCACCTTTGAGGAGGCAGAATCTCAAGAGAAGACAAGTCCATTACCATGGCAGAGGTCACGAGCTAGTCAAAAAGCTCCTTGGTGACAGAACTCCAGGGGTCTCCAGGGGTGGATGAGATCCGCTCCGAGATGCTGAAGGCTCTGGATGTTGTGGGGCTGTCATGGTTGACATGTCTTTTCAACATCACATGGAGGACAAGGACAATTCCTGTGGACTGGCAGCCTGGGGAGGTGGTTCCCATTTTTACAAAAGAGGACCAGAGAAACACTTCTCGCCTTCCCTGGGAAAGTTTACTTCAGGGTGTTGGAAGGGAGGTTCTGATCTATCGTTAAACCTCAGATTCAAGAGGAGCAGTGTGGCTTCTATCCTGGTTATGGACCAGTGGACCAGATCTTTACCCTTGAGGAGTTGCTAAGGTGGTTGTGAGAGTTTGCCTCTCTGGTCTGGTCTTTTATAAGCTTGGAGAAAGCTCATGACTGTGTTCCTCGAGGCATTCTGTGAGGGGTGCTGCGGGAGAATGGAGTGTCTGGGTTGTTATTAAGAGTGATTCAGTCCCCGTAGAACCAAAACAGGAGCTGTGTTCACTTTCTTGGCACAAAGTTGAGCTTGTTTTGCAGGTTGGACTCTATCGCTGTCCCTTGTCTCTGATCTTGTTTGTAGTGTTTCTGGACAGGTTTAAGGCATAGTCATGGACAGGAGGGTGTCTGGTTTGGGAACCACAGGTTCTCATCTCTGCTGTATGCTGATGTGGTTCTGTTGGCATCTTCAGGTCAAGACCTTCAGCATGCACTGAGGCAGTTTACAGCTGAATGTGAGGCARCTGGGATTAAAGTCAGTTTCTCTAAGTCTCCTTAGACTTCTCGACCGGAAAAGGGTAGGATGGAGTCTTTGCCTCTGGTGAGGGAGTTTAATTATCTGGAACAAATTTAACTTTCTAAAAGTTTGATAAAAATCCCTCCAGTGATGAGATACAGTTAGGTCCATATAGATTTGGACAGAGACAACATTTGTCTAATTTTGTTTCTAGACATTACCACAAGTAATTTACACATTTAGTCTTTAACAAGTGAAATGCTCAGTTGGGTTGAGGTCAGGTGACTGACTTGGCCATTCAAGAATATTCCACTTCTTTGCTTTAATAAACTCCTGGGTTGCTTTGGCTTTATGTTTTGGCTCATTGCCCATCTGTAGTATGAAACAGACCAATCAGTTTGGTTGCATTTGGCTGATCTGAGCACACAGTCTGGCTCTGAATACCTCAGAATTCATTGGGCTGCTTTTGTCCTGTGTCTTATCAATAAACACTAGTGACCCAGTGCCACTGGCAGCCATGCATGCCCAAGCCATCACACTGCTCTGCTGTGTTTTACAGATGATGTAGTACTTTGGATCATGAGCTGTACCATGCCTTCACCAGACTTTTCTCTTTCCATCATTCTGGTAGAGGTTGATCTTGGTTTCATCTGTCCAAAGAATGTTCTTCCAGAACTCTGCTGCCTTTTTACGTTTTTGGCAAAGTCCAGTCTAGCCTTTTTATTCTTGATGCTTCTGAGTGGCTGGCAGCATGCAGTGAACCCTCTGTATTTACTTTCATGCAGTCTTCTCTTTATCGTAGATTTGGATATTGATACGTCTACCTCCTGCAGAGTGTTGTTCACTTGGTTGGCTGTTGTGAAGGGGTTTCTGTTCACCATGGAGATTATTCTGCCATCATCCACAACTGTTGTCTTCCGTGGACGCCCTGGTCTTTTTACATTGATGAGTTCACCAGTGCTTTCTTTCTTTCTTTCTCAGGATGAACCAAACTGTAGATTTTGCCATTCTTAATATTCTAGCAATTTATCCGATGTTTTTTTTTGTGTGTTTTTGCAGCTTAAGGATGTCTTGTTTCACCTGCATGGAGAGCTCCTTTGACTGCATGTTTACTTCACAGGAAAACCTTCCAAATGCAAGCAGCACTCCTCAGATCAACTCCAGACCTTTTATCTGCTTAATTAAGAATGACTTAACGAAGGGATTGCCCACACCTGTCCATGAAATAGCCTTGGAGTCAATTGTCCAATTACTTTTGGTCCCTTTAAAAACAGGATGGCACATGTTAAGGAGCTGAAAATCCTAAACCCTTCATCCAATTTTTATGTGGATATCCTCAAATGAAAGCTGAATGTCTGGACTTTATGTCCATGTACATTATAGAACTATAACTTGAATATGTTTCAGTAAACAGGTAAAAAGACACAATTTGTGTCAGTGTCCAAATACATGTATATATGGACCTAACTGTATTTTGCTACAGACAAACATGAGACAAAAATAATGTAATACAGATAATATCTGGAATCCTGGATGAATATCTTACGTAAAATKTTTTACAATCCTAGCTGGACTGAATAAWAATTTGACAGCCCATAAAATATATTTAGCRGCTTGATGAGGAGCCTGTCCCACGAGCCTGTGGACCCTCTGCTGGGTCTGAGCAGGACAGACTGGTCTCTACAGAACCAGCCCAGACAGCACGTCTTGTGTGGAACATTAATCTCAGTTGACATGGCTGGACACCATCAGCACCACATGAGAACTTCTTCATAGAGGTCAGCAGGCTGTCAGATAACAAGTCTGCTTATTTAACTTGACAAAATGAGAGCGCAGTGAGGTTAATTTTGACCTTTATAATCTTTATTTGTTCAGAATCAGCTCAGTGAAGTACCATTATTATTCATTCATTGTATTTAATGACATTTAAAAAATACTGTAGAAATCTGAACAATTGTAAAACCTCAGGATTTGGTTTGTTTCACTTAAGTAATGGGGGACTGTTTGCAGCTGATCTAAAATGCTGTTGCTGATTCATGAGTGTTTGGAGGGATAGTCCTCAGATTTAGCTTCTCTCCACTGGCTTCTTATCATATTTACGTAAAATCTYACTTCTAACAAAGC